GCCAGGGCCTGGAGACAGTCAGCTCAGAGGGACGGAAGTACAGCCACAGCCTTCCAGCCAGGAGGGGTGGCCCTGACAAATGATCTGTGACTGCAGGAAACCACCACAGGGATGGTCTCTGGGTCAGAGGGTCACCAGTGACTTTTAAAATTTGTTTATGTTGATAGACCTTTAAATTTTATTCATTTATTCATATGTGGTTCTGAGAATGGGACTCAGGGCCTCACACATGCTAGGCCAGTGCTCTACCACTGAGCCGCGTCCCCAGCCCACCAGTGACTTTTTAAATCTTTGTTTTAAAAAAAATTGTCTGGGGCTGGGGTTGTGGCTCAGTAGCAGAGGGCTTGCCTCACATGTATGAGACACTAGGTTGGATCCTCAGCACCACGTAAAAATAAATAAATTAAGGTATTGTGTCCATCTACAACTAAAAAATATTTTTTAAAAAATTGTCTGCATCCTGGGGCTGGAGTTGTAGATCAGTGGTAGAGCACTTGACTAGCACATGTGAGGCCCTGGGTTGATCCTCAGCACCACATATAAATAAATAAAATAGTCTATCAACAACTGAAAATATATTTTAAAAATTTTGTCCTCATCCTTTAATGGTTCATAATGAACATATGTCATCCACATAATCAAGGAGGATGGATATTTTTGAAGAATCCAAACAGGGTTGTTTCACCTCTACTAAAGGAAGGACGTGGGGTGCACAGTGCAGACACCCCGACTTTGAACACACCCCAGACCTGGGTGGGGAGGGCCCTCCAGACAGCTTGCTTGAGCCCAGCCAGACCTGCTCCCTGTGGCGTCCTCTTGGGCCCAAACGTTGGCTGTGGCAGGTGGGGAGGAGGCAGCGGCTCCTGTCCAGCTCTGCCCACCGCAGTCCACCTCCCCCTTCAGGTACAAAGCCACCTTCCACCTGTCTTCCCGAGCCTCGGCAGGAGCTCCTCCTCGCACAACCAAGGTTTTGCGTCAGTTGTCAGTGCTGAGACAACTCACCAAGGACAGCAGCTCAGAACCACACACTTTTATTCTCTTACAGTTCCCGTGGCCCAGAGGCTCACCCGGCTGCCCCCAGGGGCCACCTGGGCTGTGTCTTCATCCACTCAACCTAGGAAGAGCTCACTTCTGGCTGATTCCATCTGTTGGCAGAATTCCCTTCCTGGGCCGTGGGACCGCGGCCCCTGGTTTCTTGCTGGATGCACTCAGGTCTACAGGCTGTGACTTCCAGAGTGCCTGCCTGTCTCATCAAGACTCCTACGAGGAGTTGAGGATAGGAAAGGTAGCAGAATACAACAGTCACTAATATGGCATTATGTAAAAATGTGGATGTGTAACCGATGTGATTCTGCAATCTGTATTTGGGGTAAAAATGGGAGTTCATAACCCACTTGAATCTAATGTATGAAATATGATATGCCAAGAGCTTTGTAATGTTTTGAACAACCAATAAAAAAAAAAAAAAAAGACTCCTACGAGGGACTGGGGTCGTGGCTCAGTGGCAGAGCACTTGCCTGGCATGTGTGAGGCAGGCACTGGGTTCCATTCTCAGCACCACATAGAAATAAAAGTCCATCAACAACTAATAAATTTTTTTTTAAAAAGACTCCTACCATCTGCTGTGGAGTCTCATAGGAGGCGACCTACTCAAGGGTGAGCCTTCCTGTCCTCTGCCACACCCTGGGACTTGCTGTGGGTTAGAAGCAAGTCCCAGATCTCACCCACACTCCAAAGGAGGGGACTGGACAATGGCAGGAACCGTGGGAGGTCACCACAGACTCTGATCACCTTCACTCTTCAACAAAGACACAAAACATTCATTTCTTTCTGGGGTTCTGAGCAGCTACCTCTTGCTGTCCTACCTTCAGGAGCCCAGAGGCTCCCAGAGAGCAGAGACCATTGCCTTATTCACCTGTGTCCTCCCGGCACCCGACGCCTCCTAGTCCACACGGTCAGGGGTGGGTAGTTCTGTTCATTCCCCCCCACTCTGTCTCCACCGTTCTGGGCCAGCTCTGAGCCACAGGCGTCCGGCATCTGTGGACAAGAGCACCCTTGCTCAAACTGGGGTCATCCACTGAGATGCACTGGAAGGAGCCAGGTGGCGGCTGGAGAGAACCGCCCAGGGTGTCCAGTGTCTCACTCCCTGGCTTCCGAGTCACAGTTTGAGCAGCGGTGGCTTTCTTCTGCTTTCAGCCACGTCTCCCGGGCTCCTGCACTACCAGCCCTGTCCCCTTTCCCTGTTAGGCATGGAGGATGGCCCTCGGTGCTGCTCTTTGGGGACACCGCCACTGCCTCACTCCTCTGTTCTTAGTGCCCTCATTCGAGTGGCCTGTGCTTCAGCTGTACATCTAACCAGTCCATTGACAAGAGAGCTCATGCCTGTGGGTGGGAGGCCTGGGGAATGGGATCCCTTGAGACATAGATGCAAGTCGGAGAGGACAGGACTGGGCTCTATACCAAGGTCTCAGAAAGAGGTGTGCACCAGGTGGCCCTGAGGGGGTGGCCGGCTGGAGTGTATGGATTGCACAGTTGACCCAGGGAGGGGATCCAGTGGCTTCCCCTGGTTGCATCACCTGCAGGAATCTCTCCAAGGACAGAGGATGGGAATCCTCCAGGATGAATAGAACTGAGGAGAGGGAGGAAGTGGGTGGGGCAGTTGCCAGTCCAGGAAGGGACAGGAGGAGGGGCAGCCATCTCCGATCTGACTCATCCCCCTCCACGTGCCCATCCACCCACTCTCACTGCACAGAAATAGAACAGGGCCCAAAGCCCAGATTATTTACCCTCTTGTCTGGGTGGGACCTAAGCCAGCTTCTTCAAAGGACTTCCCTGGTGGCTGCTCCACTAAGGTGAACCTCAAGGGGGCGCCATCCTCCAGGAGAGCAAAGGATGCTCTACCCTCCTGTGCAGACTCCTGGGGACCAACACCTGCCCAACACCCCATGCAGGTTGCACAGTCTGGAAGGGTGGCGAGGATTCTTGGTCATATCTTTGCATCTCAAGGACAGAGACTTCAGTGTCTGTAGGAAGAATGTCTGATTGGGTGAATAAGACTTTAGGTTTATAGACTGAAAACTCTCATTTATCTCTGCTTCTTCTCAAAATCCTACTAAGATAGCAATAAATGCATTTTTCTAAAAAAAAAAAGTTACCAGAAATAAAAAAGACAGCAGACAAAAGGTTCTAAATAAAATGTTGGATATAGAAGGCAGCTGGGCAAATGGTATCCGTCTTATCAGAGTGAAGAAAGTTGAAATCTGAATGCTTCTAAGAGGAGGAGATGGAGGTAAACTTGAACCTCATCCTGCTGCAGATTCAGGGGCTCAGGATGGGACTGCACCAGGTGTTCCTGAGGGCTGGGATGCCAGGTGTGTGGGGTAAAAAATAGGACCAAAAGTTTGACAAAGAGCTGGGCATGGTGGCCCTCGCCTGTAATCCCAATGCGTGGGAGGCTGAGGCAGGAGGATCATGAATTCAAAGTCAGCCTCAGTAATTTAGCAAGGCTCTAAGGAACTTAGCAAGACCCTGTCTCAAAATAAAAAATAAAAAGTGGCTAAGTGGTTAAGTGCCCCTGGGTTCAATTCCCGGTACAAAAAAAAAAAAAAAAAAAAAGTTTGACAAGGGGAAATGAGTTCCCCAGATGCCCATAGGGCAGAAAAACAGGCATCTCTAAGGGTCGATCCCCTCCTGACCCTGGTTGAAGGTTATTCTGGAGATTTGGACCAGAAAAGCCCTGGTCTGTGGGCACCACCCCGGCTCCTTCCCAGGCTTAGCTCCTTAAACACCAACAACCAGGCAAAGGGGATGCCAAGTGGCCTGGTTCCAGCCAAAGATTTCCAGGCATTTGGGGAAAGCCTCAAACTTGAAAGAGAGCCTGAGCCAGCAGACAAATGCTTGGATTCTCAGGTGTCATGCAGCCTCTCTCTAGGGGTTCTCCCTTCCTCTCCGCCTACCATCTTCTTTTCAGAGAAAGGAGACAGGGCAACCTGATCTAGAAGGCATCTGGTCCCTCTTCCTCCCACAAGACCAGCCTCTTGTGTGCAAGAATTATGCTCCATTGCACATTCTGCCATAGCTATGCCCTGTGAGATGTGATTCCCAGGAACGAAACCGTGGCCTGCCGGCAAATGTTGACTCACTCATTGGGGAAAAAAAACAAAAATCTCCAATGTGTAGGTATTTGCCAATTTCCTTGGCATAAACCCTCTTGCCATGGATGATTTCAGGAAGTCACGGGTCATTGGAGTTGAGAAGAGATGGACACAACCAGCTTTCACAGGCCGATGTGAGCCAGCCCCAGCTCACCATGGAGTGTCCCTGGTGGGCCATGGCCAGAGGCTCACTTGGCCACTGCTCTGAGTGAGCACCATCTGCCCCCACTCCCCTCCCACGCCCCTTGGCCCGTGAGCCTAATTAGTCTTGGACAGCTCTTCTGGACCAGAGGAAGGACCTGGGATGGGGCCTTCATCCCTCACCAGCAAACCACAAGGCAGAAGAGACCTCTGCATTTAGAACTGGGGCAGGGAGAGTCCTCCAAAAGATGGCGTGTTCTTCCTGCAGTTCCTCCCATTCTCCAGTGGCTGCTCCAACCTCAGGTAAGACACCTCATGAAATCAAGGGTCAGCTGGTGAATCTCTTATCTCTGGAAGGGTTGCCACGCCCGGCCCATGGGGCTGTGGGGCCAGGGTGGGCTCTACAGAGGGGTTGGGGTAACTCTTGGGGTCATGGAACTGACCCCCCTGGACATGACCTTGCTATACCACCCGCCATGGCCTCCGTTTACCAGCCCACAGCCACCCATTCAGATGCCAGGGAAAGGAAGTACAAGCTTTAATTGCTGCTGAGAGACCTCTCTTTCCATTGTCAACAGTGGGGCATGACACAGCTGGCTTTTCCCAAATAGACATCGCTCCTCCAGGAGTGAGCAGCCCTTCTCCTCTGGGACCCAGAGTCACAGGGGTGAGGGTGCAAGGCAGGGGCTTCTGGCTGTCACAGGCCTAGGGGGACCACAAGACCAGGTTGGCAGGAGGCACGTCAAAGCGCTTGCGGGTGTGGTCGGTGTCCCTGCGGTACAGGTAGCCACAGGTAGGCTTCTGCAAGGTGTAGAAGGGGTTCAGGGAATTGGAATACTGGGAAGTGTAGAAACTGAACCTCTGCTTGTCCACCTTCTGCCCCTGAGGGGCCACCACGACTGGCACGTAGGCCATTGCCAGACACTGCTCGCGGTCGAGCTTCCATTTCCGGGACAAGAGTGAGGATGGTGCCCTCACTTTTTTGCCTGATGGTGTCTTTGGCCCATCTCTGGGTCCTGGTTTCTGTGAGTCCTGAGAAGAAGAGAAAGTGAGAGTGGGGCTTTGGGACCTCGACTGCTAGGGCCAGGGGCAGGAGGGAGGAGACTGGGCCACTGTGCGGAAGCCCCCAGAGCCACCCAGGAGCACGGCCCAGGTTCCTCGAGAATTTTCAAGGTCCCCTGATCACACGCCCTGCTCCTGCAGACCTCCTGCAGACACCTGCCCGCTCACAGAGGCTGGGAACTTGGCGGCCCTCCTCAGCGCTTCCCCCTCCATCCCCACAGTCAGTCCCCCACTTGGCCCTCCTCTGCCAGGTCACTGCAGCTTCCTATCAACCCCCCCATCCCCCAATTTCTTCAGCCTGTGCTTCCACTCAATCCAGAGTTCATGGCCAGATCCTCGGACCCTCCTCCTCAAAGAAAATAAAGCCCAAAGCCCCTGGCCCAGAATGCAAGGTGTTGACTCTGCAGCTGGCCATCCCTCCCCCGCCCTGGGCTCTGGCCATGCTGGTCCCCCTGTGGTTCCCTGGCCACATCTCCTATTGCAGACCCCAGCCCGCGCTCAGCCTGCCCCCAGCCTGCATGCCTGCCTCCCCTTCCCTAGGGGAATCCTCACCCATGATACCCTGGGCTTTGAAGGGAAAGCTCTCTTGTTCATCTTTCCATCTCCTAACTCTCGACATAACAGCTGCCCAAATCCTGCTCCTCTCGCTCCCAGGCACGGTATTTAGAGAGTGCTCAATAAATGAGAATTCTAGTGAGGGGCGGCTCACCTTCCAAGCTTCGGGCTCATTCCATTTTAGAACACCTCTCATTGTTACCAGGTGTGTCTCCTCACTGCCCCTTAACCACCCTTCTTCATGAACTATGCTTTGATGTCTACCGTTTTCTAAGGACCCCCCTCCCCGACACCGTCACATTTTGTCACATTGTCCTGACATTTCTTTGGTCCTCTGTCACCACCCTTCTTGACTGTCCTGTCATCAAGCTGTCTTGTTCCCCCTTCAAACGCCACATCACCTCCCCAGTGCTAGACAGTCATTTTATTACGGGGTCAGTCCTCAACCCAAAGGACAAGTTTCTAATAAGTGACCGTCCCCCTCCATGTGTAGGAGGCTGGCTTGATTCCATTGCCCCAGCTTTGAACTGTGTTGGGGACCATTTCTTCCCTGCCCAGCCTCACAGATCTCCAGCCTTCAGGCACTGCAATAGAACCCTTAGCTTGCAGGGTGCAATGGTGCAAACCTGTAATCCCAGTGACTCAGGAGGCTGAGGCTGGAGGATGGCAAGTTAGAGGCCAGCACCAGCCACTTAACAAGGATCTACCTAGGCAACTTCGTGAGACCCTGTGTCAAAATATAAAAATAAAAAAAATTGTGGATGTGGCTCAGTGTTGAAGCACCCCTGACACTACTAGTTTGTGGAGTTAATTGGTGGAAAGTGAGCCCCCATCTTCTTACAAAAGAGATCCCCATGGGTTTGAGTCAAGATGCAGCTCCTTTGGCATTTAATTTACAAACTACTTGCCCCCACCCAATCCTGCCCAGGGCTTTCTTCCAAGACAGTTTTTGCTCCTATTGGTTCCCACCTGTGTTTACATAGAGTCAAGATACCCAGCCAGATCAGTGATCCATAGTCATCTTCGTTTGGGTTAGTGCACCACCATGTTCCATGTTTGAACATCAAAACTGCAGTGTACTTCTCAGAACTGTCCTCGTGGCTAAGTGACCCATGACTATACACACCCATTTCAAAATTGCTCTTATCCTTCCAGGCCCAGCAGCTTTCTTGACCCCCTCCCTGCACTTAAGTCTACCTATGTCCTGTCACCTGTCTTGTGGCTCCTTTGCCACTCCTCCCAGGATGGTGTCTTTAGCTGGGAAGGACCAGGGTGTGTAGGCACACAAACTAGAAAGAAGCAGTCATTCTGCGTGTGTGCAAGTGCCCTGTGGTCTCCTCCTCCAGGTTTGCACCCTGGGTGTTCTGCTTTTCTCATCATACTCCAAAGTATGGGAGCTGGCCACCTTGGCCACCTGAACCCTTTGCCTAGGAAGCCAGTGCCAGAGTGCTTCAAATGGTTGCAGGAAATTGACCCAAGACCATGCAGAGGGAAGGCAGATGCTCTTGCTAACAAGACTGAGCACCTACCAAGTGCCAGGCACTAGCTGCTTGGGTCTGCAAAAGCTCCTAAGGGCCACTTGAGATGTTGCTTCCACTTTTCAGATGATGAAACTGAGGCTCAGAGATTCCTAAGCATTGGTCTACATTCACAGTTTGTGACACTGTGGGTAACTTCCTTGCAGAAGCCCCAAGACTAGCTAGTGAGCGGCCCAGGATTTCAACGCTGGCCTCCCTTTCCGCCCAGCACAGGCCCTGGCTTGGGCCAGCTTGCCCTGGGTCTGCCTGTGAGCTCTGCCTGAAATGCAGCTACTACCACCGCAAACATATAGGGCCCCCAGCACATCCAAGGACAAGACACTCTGGACAGACACTGGGAAACTGGTCCTGGAAGAGAGAGAAGGAAGAGAAAAATGAGAAAGGAGGGGAGAAGGAAAGGAGGAAGGGGAAGGAGGAAGAGGGAGCCCAGGCAGCCCTAGCCTTGCCCTGCCCTTTCCAGGGACCAAGCCAGGCTCCAAATGACTAACGCAGCAGTCGGCTGAGAACACGGGCTCCTTCCAGGGCCCAGCCAGGCACCGGGAAGGGAGGGCGGGGCCTGGCTGCATACTTTCCAGGTTAACATCTGGTTTCATTGAACAATCTCCTCCCTCTCACATCCTCCCTGCCAAAGGCTGTGTGTGTGTGTGTGTGTGTGTGGAGAGAGAGACAGAGAGAGAGAGAATGAATTTAGATCAGTGGTTCTCAAAGGGTTGGCAATTTCTAGAGACATTTTTGGTTGACACAGTGAGTGGGTACAGGCCAGGGTGGCTGCTGCACATCCTTCTGTGCCCAGGGCAGTCCCGTGAGCATGAACTACACAGCACACAAGATCACTAGAACAAAGGCTGAGAAACCCTGGGTTCTAGGCTCTGAAGAAGACGCCCATCACCTCATCTGCTTCTCTCACCTACGCCTCCCATTCTGTAGGGAGCAAGAAAGGCTAAAGGGCAAGTAGAGGGGCTTGTAGCTCCTCCCTGCCTTCTGAACCCCGCCTCCCTGTTTTCATTTGGGGTTCAAGCTAGAGCCACCGGAGGAATCCAAAGGGAGCTCTGCCTTCATGTCCCCACCTCTGCTGGCAGACCCCAAGGCCTTCTAGATGTGCAGCTGCCGGGGGGTGTGTGTCCTGCTACCAGGACCTAGAGCAGCAAGCAGGGCCTCAAGATCTCCCGCATGGTAGCACCGCAGGTCTAGGAGAGCAGCCCACGCTCTCAACTCCTCCAGGCCAGGTGCATGGCACAATCCACAATGGTGCCTGATTCTTTGGTGGAAGGTCTTGAGCCCTGTTGAAATGCAGGGGGAGGGGGAGGGCCACAATCCCACCTTCTGGGCAACTTATAAAATCCTATCCCCAAATAAAAAATAAAAAGGGCTGGGGATGTGGCTCCATTGTAGAGCATCTCTGGGTTCAATTTCCATACCAGAAAGAAAAAGGAAGAAGAAGGAGAAGGAAAGAAGGAAAAAGGAAGAAGAAGGAGAAGGAAAGAAGAAGGAAAAGAAGAGGAGGAGGAGGAGGAGGAAAGAAAGAAGGAAGGAAAGGCAAATAGCAACCAGCTCTGGCTGAGGCAGGTAAAGCCTCCTGGGCACCGGCCGCTGTGGAATGTGCCTGAATGTGCCTTTGCAGCCTGAAAGTCAAGCTCCAGGCCTGACCCTGACCTCACAGGTCAGACAACTTTGGGTAAGTTGCTGGACCTCTTTGAGCTGCATTTGCTCCGTCGGCAAGATGGGGATGCTAAGGCTATCTGCTCCACCGGCTGGCCAGGGGTGCCCTGGCAGGGGGCCCGTGGAAGCCAGTGCAGGTGTCATGATCGGTCTTGCAGGAGGCCAGCTATGGGCCTCGCTGCCTCCTGAGACTGGACAGCACAAGACCCCACAGCCAGCTGCCGGGACCAAATTCCACAGCCCCCACGAGCTGCCTGATCTTTAGGCAAATTATAATCCTCTGTACCTCAGTTTCCCCACTGATAAAGCAGGAATAACAAGAGAATGAATATCAGAGGCCTACTGTGCGCTAATCCAGGTGAAATGCCCAGACTCCTTAAGCACTGAATAAACCTTGGCTGTTTTGCTTTGGTTTTCTGTAGTACTAGGGACGGAGCCGAGGGCTCTCCACCACTGAGACACACCCAGGCTTTTTTTTTTTTTTTTTAAGACAGTGTCTCCTGAAGACAGTGTCTCCTGAAGTTGCCCAGGCTGGCCTCAAATTTGTTTGCAATCCTCCTGTCTCAGCCTCTCCAGTAGCTAGGATTATAGGCGTATGCTACTGTGCTAGACCTGAGCCCTTATTATTATCCATGGCACATTTGCCTAGAACATGACGTGGGAAGTGTGTTGGGAAAGTGAAGGAGCAGAAGGTAGAGAAGAGTTGGACAGTGGCCCACTTCCCGTGCCCCAAGGGGACACAGAGCCCCTAGGAGGAGAATCCGTGTCAGGCAGTAGCCCTGGCAGCTGCCTTTTGTAAGAAGCCTGGCTCCCACACAAGTGGCCTGGCTGGGGCCCTCATTCTCCTTCCTGACCTCCACATTTCTCGTGACCTTGAGCTGCCTGGCTCCAGCCCTATGACCTCACCCCACCTTGGACATCCTTGATCTGGGCCTTCCTTGATGGTAAGCTGGAGCGTCTGGTGGTCAGGGGCTCCTGGGACTCCCAGGGACTGGTGGCAAGGTGAAGGCACCAGGGGCATTGCACCAGGGGGGCATTGTGACATCCCTTTACAACACAATCCTGTCTTCCTAAGGAGACCCAGGTCAGGGCTGGGACTGGAGTTTCAGGACTTGCAGGGGTCTTTTAGTCTTGACCCTGGCCCACTCTGCTATCCCCTCTTCCCACAAACCCCTAGAACCTCCAAACTGTGGGTGATGGGTGGTGGGCGGTGGGGTA